AAAAGCTGTCTGCTTTATCTTCTGGGTTATATTATACGAGTAACTGAAACATATGCAACAATGAACCTGAAGTTCATGAACCGTATATATTTACTATATGACATAGAATGATTGGGTCATCCAGGGTCTGTAATGATGTGAAGAATTATTGAGAATTCACATGGATACTCATTGAAAAACCAGAAGATTCTTCAATCTAATGAATTATCATGTGATGCTTGCTCTCAAGGCAAATTAATCATTAGACCATCACCAACTAAAGTGGGGTCATAATCACCTACATTTTTAGAACGAATTCATAGTGATATATGTGTTGGGGTTTATGCCCTAAACTCGTGATTTGTAAATCTAACTATAAATTTATCTATTTCAATAAAATTGTTATTAATGTTTCTTTTAGACTTGCATTAATCCAAATCTAATGTCCCGACGATAACCTAAAGGGTCTATAGTATATGGATAAGATTGAATACCTTATCCTGGTAACACTATGGATACGACCCACTTTGTAATAGTTACAAATGATTTGATCCAGGTTGTTCGTGTGGAGACATGTGAGTGGGAATATCATATACAATGAGTTTGTATAAGATCGGACCGCGAAATAATTAATCTTTAGCTATAATACCATTAGCTAATAGATTAATATTTCAATAGGATGATTAGATAACTCGATCTCAATCATGAGTACTGAGTTATGGACTCCTGCCTATTAGGGTTTGTCCTTTGATTTGTATGGGTGAGACCGAACGGGGAGCTGAGAACATAACTTCACAAGATGAAATTCACTATTCCCTGACTTTAGGAGAGTAGATGAATGTTCCATTTACTACTGACTCTAGGACTTTAACTACGGGCTTCACCCTCTTACTGACTCAAGAGAGACTTCCAGTTATTGGTCAGACCATAACCAGATTATTCATTAGAGGATTAGCAGCTTAAGGTATAAGATGTAATACAGGGGTAAAACGGTAATTTGACTCAGTTGTGGTTACGAACACTTGTGAATGATTGACTTACCATTAATGGTCGATATCCGTGAACACAGAAATATCTGTAGTGAGAAGAATGAAACCACGAGTTTTTAGTGGAGTAACCCGCATTTAACATATGTTGATTAAAGTGGTTAATGCGCTTAACCAATTAATCTCGTAACGTTAGAGTTTCTGATCTATAGGTCCATTAGGACCCCTTACTAGCTCGTAAAGGGTAATTAAGAACATTAAGTCTTGCAAAGAATTTGAATTGTTCAAATTTAATTAAATGGAATTTGAGTTAATTGTGTGTGACAATGTATGATGATAGATTATAAAACTATATAGCATGAGAGAATAATGTGAATTAGATTCATATTAAAACTATAAGTTAAAATTTAATATGAATTAGATTCATATTAAATACTATAAGTTAGGAGGGAAATGTATATTTGACTATGATTCAAATATTAATTGAATTAACTAAATGTGATTTAATTAAATCATGTTTAATTAATTAATTAAGATTTAATTAATTATTAATTAAATTAAAATAGTTTTACTTTAATATTTAATTAATTAATTTACCACTCCCCATAAATTTTGCTCGGAAGTGGTGAGGTGGAGAGTGGGAGGGTACTCCCACTCCTTTCTCTTCTCTCTTTCATTCAAAAATCACATCTGTGATTTTTTCTCTATTCTTCTGGTAGGAAAATTTTAAAGATTCTCTCATTATCACACAAAATCTGCAAAATTCTTTTTGTTTTTCCTTTTCAAGTAAGAGGATCCCACAATCCAGGTTCTTAATCTCAGAGGATAGCAAGCTAGTTTTGTGGTGGTGTCCACTCTTAGGTTCATGGAGTTTTGTTCGTGTTGTCACAAATTTCGTGCTCGAGGAAGAAGATTTGTTCTCATCAACAAACGTAAGTTATCTAGTTCCCCAAGAGGTTTAACCTCTAATTTAGAATAAAATTGTTCTATTTTAAAATCTGGTAACATATAACTTCTAAATTGAGTTGAATCACAGCAGTCAATTGCTTTCGTTTGGGATTCGATCCCTTCAATATGTGGACCTATTAATCCACCAAGTTGTCCCTTTAAATATTTTATGTAGATGGTCACATGTGTACTTATTATCAAGTCAAAATCTTGCATTTGCAAGATTACTTGCTCAGATAATTAAGTTACGAGCACAATTTCCTGATTATTGTTCACTTTCCTCACAAATAAGAGAAATTAGTGCAAATATACACTAAATAATCAATTGTAGTACAAAACAAGATCGTTTCCACACGGATTGTTGTTATACTTCGATTTAACAAATCAGAATACCAAAAAGCAAAAAAAAAAAAAATAGTTTGATTGAAATACTGTGGGAACAATAAAAATAAATTTATAAAATAGTAAATGAACAGCTGCATAAATATTTCGATACAATGTTGGAGCATCCAACTCAAGAAAACAAACAGATTGCGAAGAGGAAATGATTATGAGGTAAATTGAGGGGTTTCGGACAGATGCCTCCACCATTTGCTAACTTTGCTCTAGCAAACCAAGAATATTGAATGTCCAAACAGACATAGTTTTCTCTCGAGATACCCACACATGCTTGAACCCAACTCGTGTTATAATGAAATCAAGCAATAAGAGCAGTTTATAGGCACCATGAGGGGAGCAGAATATATATATATATATAGTCTATTAAAAATTATATGAAATATGTACTTTTTTTTCCTTCACTAAGATTTTTTTTTTCCATTGGTTTTTCCCTAGTAAGGTTTTAACAAGACATATTTCATATATACAATGGGAATCTAAGGAGGAGTATTATAAATATTACTACAATTAGATGTCCATTATTTGGATTAGTTTCCACAAATGTGTCTCATTATCCATATGCTACAAATGTTATTACCCAAAAAAAACTCTAAGTGTCTCATTTAGGGGTGTTCAAAAAATCTGACGGACCCAACCCAAATCATAAGGGTTGGGTTCGGTTAGATGAAACCTTGAGTGGGGTTGGGTTGTGATTTTCTCGTCCGGATCGGATTGAGTAGGGTCTCGTGTTCAACCTTTAAAAAATCGGGTCAACCAAACTCAACCCAAATTTATGCATATATGTGTATTTTTTTAATTATATATTATAATAATAATAGTAGTAATAATAATAATAATAATAATATTTTTATCTTGTCAACTGACAATTTAGTTCTAATCCTAGCCCTTTTAAGATTTTCATATTATTTTCTGTCATTTTGTATCTTAATCTCATCCGTCCATTTAGTTTTAATCCTAACTCCTCGTCGCCACGATAATTAAAAATTAAAAAAACACACAACTTGATATCTCAACCCGAAAATATTTGGTTGGGTTGATAATCCAATTCAAACCCGACGGTTCCTATATATGCCAACTCGAAAATTCGGGTTGGTCCCAAAACCCCTCCTAACCCGACCCAACCCAACCCGTAAATACCTCTAGTCTCATTTCCTTCAATGTTTAGTGTTCATTTGTAACACTTTATGGTTGTCCAAATTGCCTATTAGTGGCAATTCATGTTCATTTTGCAAGGGAAAAATAGTGGAAAAATCCATGGTTGAAATTTCTAAGGAGATTTTGTATTTTCAATTTTCCATTTTCGTTTTATATTTTAAAAGGATTTTATATATTTTTTGTCAAATCTCGTATTCTCCTATTGTTCATGTATTTGTAAGCCTCAGTTTGCTCCATAATTTTACAAGAATTTAATATTAATTATTTTTCACGGGTTAAAATTATTCTTGAAAAACATAAATTTATTATGAGTTTCAATTATATTATATGATTGGTTGATGGTGCATCTTTAATTTAAAAATGACTGGTGTTTTGAGGTATTATTGGTAGAGCAAGGTTTCCAATGCATATTCAATCACCCAATTGGTGAAATTAAATGTAAAAGAAAATATACCCAAGGAGGTGACATGGTGGGTGTGGATCAACCATGAGCTGACGGATCGAGAGCTAAAATTTTCAAATAGAAAAAGATTAAAAGAAAAAGAAAAAATTCAGTAAAGGACCGGAGAGCAGGGGTACAAATATATTCCAAGAACCGAACCGACCGATCAAACCGACATTGGTAGGTTAGTTTTATAGATACATCGGTCAATTGTCGGTTATACATGTATAAAACCGACTAGTCGGTCGGTCGATCCAAAATAAATTATAGGAAATCGACTGACCGATCGACTCTTATATAAAAAATTATATACGTGGTCAATCGATCGATGAAACTAACCATGTATCGATCGATGGGAATTTTGCCCTGACGATCGACCGAGGTACACCCCTACTAGAAAGAAAGATAAAACGCCAAAAAAAAGTGACGTGGCTGCTCTTGGAGCGCGTAAAAAGAAAAAACAAATATCAATAGGTTGTCCTGCTCCTTAAAAAGAAAAAAGAGAATCACTGTAAATATGTCCTGATCAATTCAATTAATACGGGATTAATGATTGAAAAATGCATTAAACGCACAACTATATTGGATTTTTTACTCATTGAAACCATCAAAATGAAGCTTGGACTTGAAGAAGAGAAAAGTGAGATAAGATCTGTATTCTATTTTGGACTCAACACATCTTAATTGGGTCCCACTTTGATTCCGAATGAACGTTGAATTATTTTTTAAAATTAAGCCTTCCTTTGACTATATATGTTATTATTCGTGTCTATCCCTCATGTTTGGACTCTGCGCACTTCTGTTTTCCCTTTACTAGACTAGTGGGGGGGTCCCGTGGTTCCTATACCGCCGCGTTTCCCGGTCCTTTTCTTTTAGTRCTTCGACCCGAAGCAATAGCTTAACGCTAGTTCAGTGGATAAGATGGCTGCGCTCCAGCTCACTCAAGAATGGGACGGCAGTGGTCCGCCGGCARGCTCGTTCTGATCTTGGATGCAGTACATTGGAATCCTGAAGCACCACCAGGAACGCTACCGTGCGTCCTCTTTTCTTTTCTGCATCAATCCTCATCCACCACCTATTTTACTTTTTTTGGGTGTATAGCTCAGTTGGTAGAGCATTGGGCTTTTAACCTAATGGTCGCAGGTTCAAGTCCTGCTGGATTCTCCGAAATCACCTCTTGATCTTGAGAAAAAAAAGCCGAATCAAAATATCGAGGATTCATTAATTTATGACTTGTTTGGTCATGTTGTCATTTTTTATTTTAATTTTTTTTTGTTGTTTTTTTATCTGTTTCTTTATTTTTAATAAAAAAAAAAAGAAGAGTCGAACATAACTCAACGATAATTGATATATATCTTCAACTAAAAATTTATGTATTTGATCTCAATTTCCATATGTTATACTAAATCAAGTAAATAATAAATAAATAGAATAGGATTGCATTTCATAATTATTTCTTATTTCTTATTCTTTCTTTTTACTAAACAAAAGAAATAGAAACATGTATAATAATCATTTTTTGTTTCTTGTCATCTAAAATTTAAAATTACAAAACATCTATATTAAAATTAAAGTTTTAAATAAATATTTAATTTTTTTTATCTTATATTTATAGTCAAAATTTTATTATATAAATTTATAAGTCAAAAATATAAATTAACGAAAAAATTAGAAACAAGAACAAAAAAACTCAATTTTGTTTTTTTCAAAGTTTATACATAATTTTAAAAAATTCTTTTAAAATGAAAAATGAGAAATAGAAATAATTACTAAAAAGTTTATATTTCTCATAAAATGAAAACAAGAAACATGGGCATTATCCAATGGAACCTAAGTTTGAGAATAACTTTTAATTTTATCTATAGACCATTTTTTTTAATTTAATCATTTTTATTTAATTACATCAAATTGGGTCCTAGACTTAAATAAGTATGACAAATCTCTGAAAACCCACCAATTTCGATGAAAATAAGTCCTAACAAGTCAAAACTTAATTTACAGTCTTGGTAAATTAATCCACATAATTACATTGAATACATCTCCTAAACTTACAAATTTCAACAAAAGATTGTCGAAAGTAAAAATAGCAACAATTTAATTTGTCAAACCGAGCATAGCTCAAGTGGTTAAGGCACCTATCTCCGACCAAAAGATTTTGAGTTCAAACTCTCACCCCCACAATGTTGTAATGAAATAAAAAAAACAATTTCATCTTTCTTTTTTTTTTCCCGTATTACGAAGGGCCCACTTGGCTGACTTTTAAAAGTAGGTGGAATATCAAATTAGTAGTATTAATTCTACAATGGCTACTCCAAGTTTGATTTGAAAGTTGAATTATCGTAGAAATTAAGCCCTTCATTGCGACTGCAATTGGTGTTGGATGGTGATGTTTGAATGCAAGTCTCAAGAAGTGAGTTTCTGAATGACTTTCAAAGAAATAGTATTTTAAAATATGAGTTTGACATATCTTTGATTAAATTAAAAGTATTTTTTTAAAATATGTAGGCCGCCTTATATAAAAAAAACATTCGATTTTTGTTTTTTATTTTTTTGAAGTTATGTTTGCCTTTTGATAATTGTTTAGATATGTTTTTGGTTTCTTATAAACATATTTGAATTCTCAATCAAATTTCAAAAATTATATATATATATATGCCTTTTTTTCCTCATAATTTTGTGTAGATTTTGAATTTTTTTAAAGTAAATAACAAAACAAAATAAAAAAAAATACCTAAGTGAAAGTGTTTATAAGCTAATTTTTTAAAAATAACAAACTAAAAATAAAATAATTATTAAATAGGAGTCTTTTTTCTTTTAAAAAATGCTTATAGAAAAATATTTCGTACAAAAGTAATATTCTCATAATTTATTCCAAATTGCACCTTTTATAAACATATAAATTTTTTGCGCCACGCAGGAAATATTTGTACAACTTTTGGGTTTGTATCGTGGGTGTTCTTCATTGGGTTCGAAGATCGAAGCAAAAGGAGATCTACAAAGGTTGAATTTCTCAATTCTTTTTTACTTTTCTTGTAAATTAATCCCTCGCGAAACTTCTGTTGTATGTAATACTGGACATTTTCGATCATTAATAATATTGACTCGCAAGGGTGTCATCCTTGCAACTGGATGTAGGTCTTAACGGATCGAACCACTTTAAATCTTGTGTTATCTCTTGCATATATTGTTTTTAGTACATATTTCAGTTTTGTCCGGCATCTTAAATTGTAGATAATCGCTTGTACTCACTGTTTTGACTAAATAATTGTTGGAGAATTGTTGGGATTGATCTTGGGTTCATAACAATTGGTATCAGAGCCATGGTCTAAGAACGTCCTAGCTGTGTCAGTGAATCCTTGAGTGCCGAACAAAGAAGTGGTGAGTTTCAGAAGGTGTGGTCATGGTGTAATTCGTAGGTGTACTCTATCAGGTTGTGCCCATAAGCCTTGGATAGGAGCAAGCTCTCGTTCAAGTCCGAGAGTAGATGAATGAGTGACTATTTGAGGGGAGGCTCGGTGGTACTTTGCTCGAGGGGAGGATTGTTGGGTTTGTAAGGTGATTGCAAACAAAGTCTCACATTGACTAGGGAAGGGAATGATCATGAGTATATAAGAGATAACAATTATCTCCATTGGTACGAAGCCTTTTGGGTGGAACCAAAAGCAAAGCCATGAGGCTATGCCCAAAACGGACAATATCATATCATTGTGACTCAACGAATGTCCTAAATGACCCACCATAGAGTTTGAACTCAAATTTTTCCAAAATCTATTAACTTCTTCACTTTTCCACCATGGAACTAAGTCCTAATGGCTAATTTCATAATAATTTTAGTAAACGTAATATTAAAAAAATTAATCTAATTCTACATCTTTTGAATATTTTATTGCATTCTCACTCGAGAGGATCTAAATACAAAAGTTAAGGTTAGGATTAATTTTTATATTTTATTTTACTTGAAGATTTCAACTTCAACCTAGCTTAAAGTTTAACGCATTAGTAATCAATCGGAGTGGTAGATAAGACACCAATTGTCCTCTCCTTAGAGTTAAAGGTTTGATTCCTCGTCTCAAAATTGTTAAATTTAAAAATAGAAATAGTTAAGATATTAATGACTTTCTCTAGTCAGAATTTTTTTATCCATACCTCATAAATGTAAATAAAAATAAAATGAAAAAAAATTGAAAAACTCATTGGCAACTTTATTTGGACCTTCCAAATATGTAGAATGATATGATATTCTCTGTTTATAGACTGATTTTGCTTTTGATGGAAAAAAAATGATGTTGGGTTAAGGCTCATTTTGTTGTTTTTTTTTTAAGTTTTTAGAGGTATATATCACATAAGCACGAAATGAGAGAGAAATTCCTATTGTAGAATCTTCATTAAAACTCTCTAATATGTAAGAATAATTATAGTTTATATATAGTACAAACAAGGTTTGATTTGTTATAACCACTAAACCATCAAACTAACAGAATAACAAACTAGAAAGATCTCCAATACTCCCTCCTCAATATGGAGTGTAAAGATCATAAGCACCCATCTTGGACATGAGAAAATGCAAAGTAGTATTAGAAACCAACAGCGATCCCAGAATGAGTAGGTAGCACAACAGTAATATTAGAAGCAAGTCTTAAATTCGTGAAAAGTTCACGTTGATGACATATGTGACTAGACGTGCCCGAGTCAACTATCGACAAATTGGAATTAGTATGGACAGATGAACAAAATGTCGAAAAATAAGTACCTACTTTACTTTGATCTGCCATGGAGAACAATTACTCAAGGATTGGGAGAGAATTATTTTCACAAAATGATTGTGAAGAATGGAAAAAGAACAAAATCACATCAAGCAAAAAATAAAAATAAAATTTTTTTGCTCTGATACCATATCACATAACTAGAAGCGAAATGAGAGAGAAATTATAATTATAGTTTATATATAGTACAAACAAGGTTTGGTTTGTTATAACCACTAGACCACCAGACTAACAGAATAACAAACTAGAAAGATCTCCAATACTCCCCCTTCGAGATGGAGTGTAAAGATCATAACACCCATCTTGGACATGAGAAAATGCAAAGTAGTATTAGAAACCAACAGTGATTCGAGAATGAGTAGGTAGCACAATAGTAATATTAGAAGCAGGTCTTAAATTCGTGAAAAGTTCACGTTGATGACATATGTTGTTAAGAATTAGTGCAAACATGTATTAGCTTCTTTGTTAGTGGTTCCACAATTTTAGGAGTTATGCTTGGTAATTAATTTCATAGTGGGAAGTTTATTAAGTAGTGGATGAGTGAATTGAAAGTTTAGAGAATTAATAGGTTAGTGGTTTAGTGGAGTTATGGTTTTGGTTTAGGGAGAATTTGAAGGTTGTGGCCTAAGTAGTAGGTTAGTGGCCTAAGTAGTGGATTAGTGGTCAGTTTTCTTGTTTCCATATAAATACTTTGTAACAATCTCAATTCAATGAATAGAAGTTCTTCTTTCGTACAATTTCTCTCGCTTCCACTTTGTTGTGCACCTTTGTTTTCGTTACATGGTATCAGATCAAGCCAAGTTCTTTATCTTGTGTTTGAGTTTCGTGCTCGGTGTTTGAGTCTAGTGCTGGTTAAGATGAACGGTGGAAGCAATGTTTGCGTAGATAAGCTTACTGGTGATAATTATAGCTATTGGAGGCTATGTATGGAAGCTTTTCTACAAGGGCAAGATTTGTGGGATATTATATTTGGTGAAGATAGTGTAATTCCAGATGATACTCCACAAAATGCTGAGGTACAAAGGAAGTGGAAGATCAAATGTGGCAAAGCTTTATTTGCTTTGCGAACTTCTATTGGCAAGGAGTATATCGAGCATGTTCGTGACGTAGATTCTCCAAAGGAAGTGTGGGATGCACTTGAAAGGTTGTTCACTCAAAAGAACACGACGAGGTTGCAGTATTTGGAGAATGAACTTGTTGGAAAAACTCAAGGTAATTTATCGGTTTCAGAATATTTTCTAAAAGTTAAAACTTTGTGTTATGAAATTTCAGAATTGGACAAGGAGGAATCCATTAGCGATCGTTTGCGTCGATATCTTATTCGTGGATTGCGAAAGGAGTTTAAGCCGTTTATTTCTTCGATACAAGGTTGGGTAAATCAACCTTCTATCATTGAGTTGG